GTGTGTACTTTTAGTTACGACCGCCAATCGCTCTTCCTTTGAAAAAGATCGTCTGATCGAAGGTTAGCTTGTGCGCTCATGGGCCCGCTCTAAACTTGAGTTGTGCGATTTTTTTTGCAGAAAAAAGATTACCTTTTGTGCTATGGAAAGATTCGTCGTTACTTTCCTTCTTCTTTTGAACCTTGTCGGAGGAATTTCAAGCCGAATATTGATGCCGCGCTCGACTAATGAAGGCAAGTTAGAAAAAGAGCCGTCAAGTTTTTTTTTTACATTTGTGTCCAAGCATTTTAAGGGGGAATAATGTCAGAGCTGCCTTTAAATGGATAAAAACTTTGCTACTTTCAGTATGCAATTCGTATTAATGCTTCAACCATATTCAAGTAACGAGCTGATCTTCACACTGAAAAAGGAAAAAAACAGTGCAGAGAAAGAAGCCTAAAAAATTCAGACCTCCATATAGCATTGGGTCACCCCTTCCGGTTTAATTCATACCGTCACACTAAGGGACCCGTCCCCGTCATTATTTATCGCCTTAAAAAAATAGGAGGGGGCGGTAAGAGGATTTTTTGGGAGAGGATCCAGGGGGAGCGGATGAGAGACCAGTCGTCCTAACAGAGCATAAGGGGGGGACTATAAAACATTGACTGCCAATGAGGGGAGATCGTTAGAATATTACACAGCCTTAAGGGGATTATTATGACGCATAAAAAATTCCTCCGACCCTCCCCACCCCCCTACCATAATCGTGACTGAAATTGGCCTTGGAAGGTCTGGGTACGAGACTTAGCATGACCCTTGGCTTTTTCTTTTTTCCAGTAGTGTCAGACATTCCCTTGCGATCCGCTCCTTCAGACAATATTAGAGGTAAGCGGAGTGGTTTTGGGTTTAGCCAAGGAGCAGGTCACAGCTCAAGTAATAAACTAAAGGACTTACTCAAAAAACAAAAGCAAAAGCAGCAGGCAGAAGATAAATATGTCCAACAGTGGAACAACAAATTTGAGGAGCTGTTTGGTAAGGACACGACAAAATCTGGGCGTTCCCAGGTTCCCTCCAGGACTGGCTTTTGGCGGGAAAGTTCTAGAGACACTGATCAGAGAACCGCGCGTCATCAAGAGTGAAGCTTACCTAAGATTAACGGAATAATTTACGCTGTACAAATAATAATTGTTGAATAAGATTAAAGTATATGGCCGAATCCACATCACCGATCTACAATCGTCTTCTTACTTTCCAGAATATTTCTATTGGTTTGAGAAATTCCTGAAATATGTCTTGACGGTAACCTTATATAGCGAGTCAAATCAAATCATGATGTTTATTTCGTTCAATATACTTATATGGAGCCGTCATGAGGTTATCCCTATCGAGGACGTTCCCTATGGATCAAAACCTCAGCAAAACTCTCGAATGATTGGTTATCACCCGCCCTAAAAGGACAGTGTTCGCGTCATGCTTGTAATTGGACAGTTCTACTTTTGATCGGACAGGTGACAAGTCATGCTTTGGTAATTGGACAATAGCGTCATGTTGTAGCGCATTTCACTGACTTAATTAGTGATTTTTTTTTGTAAAAACATACTGACGACCAACATGTTTCTCGAAGTTTGTCACACTTTGCATTAATTGGTTACAGAACTCGGCTACTTTTGTGTAGTTCCTTTCAACCGCCTGAGAAATTATCTCAAAACCACGTCAACTATCCATCAAGAAAGATTGAGGGGGGGGGGACGGGAGGAGGAAATTTCTAAAATGAACCCCTAAGTACGGTACCCATCGAGGGCCACGCTATGAACACTTTTCGTGAAATGGCGTTTAGCAGCTTTGAACTGGCGAGCGCTACTATGAATTGGCAATTCGCCACTTCAAGCTCAAAGTGGCAATCTCTAGTTCAAAGTGGCACTCCCCAGTTCAGAGTGGCAATCGCTAATTCAAATTGACAATACCAAGTTCGAAGGGGCAGTCACCAGTTCAAAGTAGCGATCGTTAGTCTAAAGTGGTGATCGCCGGTGCATTCCAGCAAATCGTCGGCTAACGAAAAAATTGTTGATAGTATGGCCCTTAATAGTGTCTGCATCCAAGAAATCAGGGTCGTGCCCCTGCAGCGTCCGAGTTGTTGTTTTGGTAAATAACATCACAACTTACGGTTTTGCAGTGATCTCAAATCCTGCAATGTATAACATTTGTATTGAAACCAACGAAGTTTGGCGAAACGAAATTACTTACGGTTTTCATAGCAGGATCTAATTTGACCAATATTTAGAACTACATATACCTTCCACAAATCTGAAGCCTGCGGAACAGACATTAAAATGTGTCATTAAAATTAACCTGATCCTCCATAAAGGCTCTGTAGTATTCTCATGATCTCCATCATTGGCAGTCAATTTTCTACTGATAGTCCCTCTTCTAAACTCGGTTAGAAACGACAAAACGTCCAAAGCACGAGATGCCCCCAAAATTCCTTCCACTGCTTCTCCTCATGCAGGCTGAAACTTTCGACTGGTCGCCAGAATCACGTGAGTTAGCCAGAAAAATTATTATTATTATTATTATCATTACTATTATTATTATTATTATTATTATTATTATTATTATTATCATTACTATTATTATTATTATTATTATTATTATCATAAACTAGCCTACACTAAACTAAAATATTTATATAACTGAAATAAACTATACCAGACTAAACTAGACTAAACTAAAGTAGATTTAACTAATCTAGACTATTGTAAACAAAACTAAACTAAACTACTTTAAACCAGACTAAACTAAAAATAATCGACCAAGAGGTTTACTGCAAAAAAGATGCATTCTTTCATTCATAACCTTGCCACTTTAAAGTTAGTAAGTCTTCGACGTTTCATCGAAATTCAGTGGTAATTCTTTACAATATAGTCGAAATGGCCCTGGCCAAGGAGAGAAAATAGCAGAGGAAGCTAAAGAGAAACACAGAAAAACAACAACAAAAAAGTGAAAGACAACTACGTAGTAAGAGAAGAAGAGGAACACGGTTAATTACAAAGAAAGTAAAAAGTAAAAAATGAAATAAAAGGTCACTGGAACGAGCACATTCTGTCTACCCTACATGATGGACTATATTCTAACACCAAGACCGCTGACAAAAATCAAACGATATTTATCGTATACGGGCTCTCGTAGCACTATCGTATGCACTTCCGTCCAATTTACCAACTAACCGTGGTGTGGAAAACTAAATCGGAAAACCTTTACAGCCCTTTAGACCCATCTTCAACATCAAATGAGTTTAAGGTAAGCATGAAGTATTAAATAATGGGTATTTTATGGGTACTTTAGGATTTTTTCAAGCTCACGAAAGCTAGCCCTGTGAAAGACCTGGAATATCTCCAATCCTAGCAATCCTACGATTTTTTTTTTAATTGTGCAAGCCTCAATTGTTTTTAACCCTTTAACTCCCAAGATCAGATTGTTAATTCTCCCCTCTCAGTAACTGGTACTCGTTTCCTTGTAAATTAGTGAAGAGAATTTGGTTCTAGATCAAGATAGCAGCTACTCCCTGATAAGTTTGAATATTCTAATTGCCTGTTCACTGAATAATATATGGATATTATAGGATGAAGGGTAAAATTTCCGCACAGCCCCATACTTCATTATGCATTCAGTTCTTGAATAGAGAAAACAATGACTAAAACAATACATTGCCATTGGGAAAACAGATTTGTTTTACAATAGTATGGGGCTGTGCGGAAATTTTACCGGATGAAATTTTATGTTGATCACTTGTGGGAGTTAAAATGTTAAGCTTGTAATTACATTCCCTATCCACTGACCTTTTCACTTCCACGATCTCATTAATAGTTCTCCTTACTGTTTGTCATACAGTTCTGAAGATGTTAGGTTGGAGAATTTCGTATTGGATCAACTAACAATCCCCAAATTGATATTTTCTTTTTTCTCATTACTTTTCTGGTTGATAATGTTTGATATTATAATGAGATATTCTTTCTTAGTCACTCATGGGATTTTTTAAGAGTTAAAAAAATTCCCATATGACTGGTATGTTGTTTTTTTTTAACACTTACCATTTTATTTATTAGTTTATACCTTTAATCCCTAAGAATGACCAGCATCTAATTTCTTCTTACAATATCACCCTTGAATTCTGTGGTAAGGTCATGAGAATAAAGAAAATTATCAGCAACAAAATAAGCTGTTGATTGTTACACAAATTCTTTTGGTCAGCACATTAGGGAATGAATGGGGAACAGTATGAAGAATACCTTTGCTGATGTTAGGGTGTAAAAGGTTATATCACACAAGTGAATAGTGCCTTTTTGCACACGCTGATTGGCTTAAGTTTAGAAGTGAATTGCAACTGCTATTCACCCCCCAGCAGCTGATAACATAAAATGGCAAGCCAAGAGCTAAATTTCTGAGCATTTTTCAGTATCTGAAAAAAAAATTTTTTTTTGGTATCTATGTGGTACGTAATAAGACAATTGTTCACCTCAGTGTGAAACTGGTGAATATTTACCTTACCACTTCGGGGCTTGGAAAATATCCATCTCTACTGATCTCCACTTCAGGAAGTAATTATTAACTGATGGCAATGTATGGATCATCTGACTGATAGAATTATTCATTGGGACATTCCACTATTCATCTCAACCCTCCCTAGGGAAGGCCAAGTTGTAACACTTGACTTTATTTTTAGTGGACAGCACCTTTTAACATTGCACTTGGATGTTCAAAATTGTGTTTGTTTAATTACAGTTGGAGGGTTTAAAATTGTGTTGGTTTAATTGTAGTTGTGGGGCTCAAAATGATGTTAGTTTAATTGCAATTGGAGGGCTCAAATTTGGGTTAGTTTACTTGCAGTTGGAGGGCTCAAAATTTTGTTGGTTTCTTAGAAAAATACTCCATTAGAGCCCTGTACCAAGTGTTGCCTTCCGTGGAAAAAGGGGTGGCAATAAGATGAAAAATAGATACCCATTTTTGCAGCAACTGGACAGCTGTCCATCACAAAGAATATGCTGGGAGCCAATGCAAATATGTTGACATTGGTAATGAGCTCTAAAATAGACATTTTTAATTGTTTATGTTCTTGTGCAACTCTATGTTAGCTGCAAACACAAAATAAAGAGCTCTATATTGTCTGTCTACTAATCCTTTTCATGCAACTTATTATCATCATGGGATTTCTTTTGCCTGAGGTGGACATTGATGGCATTAAGGAAGTGTTTGTAGACATAACAATGAGTTTTATGAACTCTAAGTAGTACCCTTGTGCAAATCTCTCCTAGATGTAATAAAAAATAATACACTCATCTTTTGACGTAGATTTATATATTTTTTAAAATACTCCTACTGCATGTTTATTGGTGTAATAACCCACTTGGGATGTTGGTTAAACACACAAAAAGTTTCTAGATCTCTTACCTCTGGCTTGTGGCTTATAAACTTTAATTTACTCATGTTCTCCCATCATCCTACAGGGACAATTACATCCATAAACTGACAGAAAGTGCAGTCAATTGCTTTACTTCAAAAAGGGTTAATGCAATTCAAAGGTTAGACTATGAATGCTACCTACTTGCAGACAAATTGTTAAAATATGCATCACCTCATGAAACCTTTAAAGGAGGTCATCCTAAAATTTTCTTTCCCCAAAAATCCTAAAAACGTGAGACCCAATTTTAATACTGTATCAAAAATGTGATCCCATCCAGCAGCACATTCTCAGTAACCTATTACTAGGGAGTACCTACCCCCCCAGTACAGATGCTAGTGGTGCTATTGAATTGTCATTAATTGCTCAACCATGCATTGCTCAACCATAATACAAGAAGAAAGAATGATTTTTCCTTCCTCTTGTTGAAAAAACTAGGGAGAACAAAGACTTTTATACATATGTGCAAAAGAATGGAGTCTTTTAGATACTTCTTTCAAAGAATCAACTCTCTCCTCATTTTTAAAGCAAAGAATGAAAAACTATGAATTTAGATTTTTAGCCTCTACAATCAACTTTTATTTCATAGCTTTTTTGTTTTTACTTGTTATCTATTTATGATAACTTTTATTTTATTTTATTTTAGAGGGCCTCACAGAATACCACTTTCTAGTGAAGTGAGCCCCTGTATAAAGACTGTTATTATTATTATTATTATTATTATTATTATTACTATTATCATTATTGTTATTATTATTACTATCATTATTGTTATTATTATTACTATTATCATTATTGTTATTATTATTATTATTATGCATTCATGATATCTAATTATTGGTCAAAGTTGAATGGATGAGGTTGACATTATGGAGATCTAACTGACTTAAAAGAAGTTTTAAAATGAAAATAGTTTGTAAAAGAACCCCTCTTCAACTGATACGGCTCCAAAACTTCCACTAACCCTTGATAATTTTTTTTTTCTGTGTAGGAATGAAACAATCAAAGGAGTCTTTCTCAACGAGTGGTAGGGAAGCTGAACAAGATACGAATATTGACGTCATCATTAGGTCATTTGAGTCACGTGACAGTCCCATGATTCGCAAGATCTTTACGCAAAGCATGGGAGAAATGCGAGGACCCTTTGTTCGTGACGTCATGTACCAAGCGGCTTTTTATGGATTATTTTTATCGTTCCCTGTAGCACTTTTAAACCTCATTTGGTCGCCTTGGTGTTTATCAATTTACCTTTTAGTTTTATTTGTTTTATTGGTTGCCTTGTTCACTGGACTGCACATTGGGTTTTCAAGGTACATTCGAAGCTGCTTACGCAACGATCTAGATAACGTAGAGAATGTCTATTTAGGCCAGAAAAGGTCCCATATGTGGGTGGCTGAACTTAACAACAAAATCATCGGCATGGTCGCCCTTGTTCCCGGCAGTGAGCACGAAGTTTGTTTCGGAAAGCCTCGGGACACCGTCGGGCGACTTCGGAGAATGGCTGTTTCACCCGAATTTCGTCGACTTGGTGTTGCTAAGAAATTGTTACATGTACTATTAAGTTTTGCAAAGGAGATAGGATATAAACAAATAGTTCTTTTGACAACCAGCGCTCAGGAGGCTGCGCTTAAATTTTACCCAAAGAATGGATTTTACTTGGTGTCTAAAAGGCTAGCTAATGTAGCCCTTAGGGGATTTTATCACTATGATTACTGTTACGATCTAGATAAAGCTAGATAAAAGCCATATGTATATGTGTTAATTTCGTTGATTGTCATGTTGAAACTATGTTGAACAATCTAGAGATATGGCTACCTTCACATCCGAAATTCGAAACCCCATCCGAATTTGGCTACATTCCCATCCAAAATTTAGAATTATTTCTCGCGTACAGGTCCAGTTTTGAGTGTCACAAAGTAGGAGAAGACTTCCACTTCCCACCCCACCCTCTCCATATCTTCTCTCCTCAGGTCGTCCAAAATGAGAAAAGAGAGCTTAGTGGTTATCTGCTACTTTCGCCTTTGATGTCGAGTTTCTTAATCAGTGAAACGACGATGAGATGTTCGATTATCTGACGGTGTTATCACAATCTTTGAATCTAGAAACTCTTTTTATGGAAGTTTCACGGTGGCAATGCAGAATGTTGGATTGCCTGATTGTTACCTGTTCAACCTTGAATACTGCTGACTGACGATCTTTCTTTTTTGGGGGGAACAAATTTCTGTGCTTTAATTTCGCTGAAATTTCTGCCAGGAAAATTTCGATTTTGCCGTTAAGCAACAGAAATATAAAAACCCTCGTGTTTACAAATTTCCTAAAGCGTGTCGAGTTAAGTGTCACGTTAGATGATGCATGGACGAAAGTTTCGAGGAGGGGAGGGGATCCAGGAACTTTTGATGGGGGTGTGGGGGGGGGGCGGTAGGGTCCATACTCTGATTAAGAAAGTACCTTTCTTTCCCTTCGCACTTTTGCCCATATTAGCTAAAACATATTCTGTATTAGTAGATTAGTAAATTTTATATATTTCAAGTTGAGTAGAAGTTTGCGATCCTGACGTTGTACGAACTGTGGTTTCAAAAAGTACCCACGGGTATGATAGCGGGCAGGGTGATTCAGTCCGAATACGGAAAACACGAATTGACAGTTGATTGATTCGCGCGCACAGTGCTTTCTTTTACTCAGTGAGAATTGTAGAATTTTGCAGCGTTTTATCTCACGGAAATTTTTCTGCGGAACTTTATTTGCAGTCGAGGGTAATCCGCCAAAGGCGTAGGTAAATACAACTGGCAAAATTTCAAGCCACAAGAAAAGGAACGATCTTTGCATGCCAGCTGAAATTCAGGAATTGCAAAAAAATTGTCACTGCAATGTCTTTAGTTGCAAATCCCCTCAGTACAAAGATAATTTCTTCGCGGCTTGCATATCTTACGTGGGTCAAAATATCAATTTCGATTGTTATTTTTATGCTGCATATTACAAGCGTCTCAAAGGTTGTTTTTGTCTATGAAAACTGTCTGATCCTGCTTACAACACTTGTTTCATGTTTACAGTTCAATGAGTTATCTTTTCAGCATGGGGTGGCTGAATTTTCAAAACAGTTTTATATTTTGTGGCGTCGGAACTGAACATAAGTTCTTTAGAAAAATCTTTTCTTACGTATTACGTATTACGTATTAGCCGTTGAAATTCCGAAGTCCAGAAATGTCAACATTTCGAATACAATGGAATTAACTTCTTAAAGGACATTAACAGAAATGAAAGCAGTAAATTAATTAGATAATCACTGTAGATAAATATCAGCTTGGGCTCAGTGCCATCTTAAGAAAAATTACAGCTGTTTAATTCCTTGTGTTTTGGTGTGGTCCCCTTCTAGAAGATCGATTTCAAAATTTAACCTCCAAACAGCTTTCAACAAGAAGATTACACGCATTCCAAGAGACATAATATTTGTGTTTATGCTGAATATTTTTGCTGAAATCTTATCCTGCATAACGCATTATCAATTACTCAAAGGCTACTAACGGCAAACAGACCTTGACACGATTAGGGTACGATGTACGTGAAGAAGGAATTTTTAGACTCTAAGAACTGAAAAAGGGAAGCGCGATGCACAGGAAAAACCGTAACACCTCTCTCTGCTATGGATTTATCTTCAACTTGTTGGTGGCGCTGTGCACGATAGCGTTTATGTGTTACTTTTTGTACCGCTTTGATACCAGACTCCTTTCACTGGAGCGACGCTTGTGGGATATACAACATGACAAGGGTGTCAGCGCAGTTAATCGGGAAAGACTGACGTTATTTAAGAATGGAAACCGCAACAAAAGGAGACATTTTAACAGGAAAAATCTGGTGAATAGAACCTTTCAACACGGGTTTCTGTCGGAGCATGATTCGGAAAAACCCCATGCTAAATGACTGTTCGCCGGCTCCATTACCAAAATACAGGCCATGTGTTGTTACGTGCTGTTCGCAGTTCAGCTTGGAGCTTTACCGATTACGGATGACAATCATCTTTGTTTGGATTTCATCAGCCGCTGAGTTATATTACTATGTAACTGCGCGTAACATTTGCGTTCCTGTTAGATGTACGTGAGTGAGAAAAAATGTTTTGGTTCTACACTTTGTGAATAACCACTTAAGGATTATGAGATTCAGTTTAACACTTCATAAATTTGCACACGTGATGTAGATGTTTATTGTAAATTACCACCTTTTGAGATATATTTGCAAGATTGGGTGATTTATACACTTCCTATTTTCCTGAAAACTGCAAAACATAGTTTCATTGTGAATGGGAGCGTGCGTGACAACGATTTCAATCTCCTCTAACGCCAGCACGCGCGGCATGGTAGAAATCTTTAACACGCTTGTAGCTCAAGCTCCCCGCTCCCTCAACTCCCTGGTCCTCCCGGTCCTTTTCAATTTTGAAAATTCGAAACTCACTCCCGCTTCTCAAGCGAAATTTAGGCGTTCAAACAAAATGCAACTAGTACATATGTGAGGGTCTTTAGGGGTTAACTAAGAACCGTAGAATGACCAAAAACTTAAGCCGTTAGGCGTAAAAATTGACAAATTTTAACCCTTCGTGGAAAAAAAAATTAACCGTAAAAATTTTTCTGTTGACCACAGTGGACAGATATTAACCGATAGCCGTAAATTGGCCAAAATTTTACCCATTAGCCGTAAGAGCCATCACCCCATTGAGACCCTCTTATAAATGCAGTACCGACCGTGCAAGCTGAATAATGCTGAGGTGGATCTTAAAAAACAATTGATTCAACCTTTTTTGGAGGTTTTCTAAGCGTTAACCCTTTATACCTTAACATCAATAAAGGTATTCTCCATTCTGTTTCCCTTACATTCACTTAGGTGCTGACAAGGAGAATTTGTGCAACAATTAACAGCTTCTTTAGCTGCTGATAATTTTCTTTATTCTCATGACCTTACTGCACGATTCAGGGGTGACATTGTAAGAAAAAATTAGATGCTAGTCACTCTTAGGGGTTAGAGGATTAACAGAATGATAAGACACCTGGGTAACCCCAAATACAGAAACTTAAGCTAGATGATAGAAATCTATAGTTACGTTGATTGTTGTTTCGGGCATGATATGCGTTCATTGCCGGCTTTGTGACACGAAGAATGATAAAAAAGTCACCAGACTTTGAAATAGTCCGATAAATTATTTTTACAAGTTAAGCTTTTCCTGTTGATTTTCGTCTTGTCACGAGCTTGGGACAAAGAAATAAAATCCAGATTCCCCATGAAGAATCGAACCTCAGACCTTCGGATTCCGCCCTCCGATGCTCTACCACTGAGCCATAGAGACTCCACGGTGACCGAGGTTTATTACGAAGTTGATATGACACGCGTCCTGCATACTGCTAGGATCAGCAATGTCGATAGCGTAATGTTTGTTGATAGAAATAAGAGAGATGGTAAGTTTTAAACTCGGTAAAGAAATAGAGAAAGATGTCTTCGTCTTTTCACGAGCGTGGGACAAAGAAAAAATCCAGAGTCCCTATAAGGAATTGAACCTCAGACCTTCGGATTTCGCGCTCCAAATCGAATACTGATTAAATTATCAAAATAAAATTATATTGATAATTTTACCAGTGAACTTTTATTTTGCTTTAGCTATGCAAGCTCTTCGGAGTTAATATACATTCTTGTATATAAAGCACGCTTTGTTTTTGTTCTATATCCATCTGTAAATATTCTGACTGGGTTGCGAATATAGATTATTTATATCTACAAAATGATGCGTTGTTTGTTTAGAATGTGTCGGGTCCAATCCATTCTAGAATTTTTTTTCGCTGCGACTTCTGGGACAACATATTGCACTACAAATATATGACTTTCATATATTCTAAACCATATATTGCACTATTGTTCTTCAACTCTTCGCTGAAGTTTTGAAAGGAAAGTGCCATCATGCAGCAGCCAGGTTTGTCTAGAGCAGTAATAACTTTCTTTCTCTCGGCTTAAATGCATTTAAGGTGATTTTAAAACACCTATGGTAATGCAATAAATATTCAATCTGTAGACTTCGTTACTAAAATTAGGTTCGGCTGCGGCACGTGGTCGAACCGTACCGCGAACATCATGTGAGATCAGGCACCGAAATAGGCGAACGAAAGTTATTCCAATTGATGAAGTGTTCGCATGCATATGGCTACGCTCTTAAACCAAATTGAAGACCGAAGACTTTCGAACCATTTATTTTAAATGGGAAAGATGAAAACATGTTTCAACGCTTCGTTCGACCGTAAGTAAAACGAAATTGATATGGTCTTCGTTCTCGAGAAATGGCCACTTTGCTTTGCTCGACGTTCTGGTGGTTTTTGCATGTTCCTTTAATTATTTGCCTTAGATCTAAGTGTAACTGAATATCCTCTGAATCGAAACGTTACAGATCAGTAATTTTGATACTCGATTAAGTCGATTGTAATCGATAATTTTCGATACTCACTAGTCGATTAATATCGAAAATCGATAAAACTCGATAGCGGAGTTCTTTGTGACTTGTCTTTTTTTTTCCAGTGTAATTTTTTTTCGTGTTAGCTACAGTTTTGTAAACTGCTTCAAACGCAAATGAGTTATCACAGATTGAAATCAATAACGGGAGACGTTTTTACTTTTCGGTAGGGCGGAAACTTTTACATAATGCCGAGTTAATGTGATGTCATTTGTCCTCTGGGGCAAATAAATCAATATTGTGGATAATCTGGGCCTAAATATTGTGATTAGTGATTGTTATTTTCTCTCTAACGGGTCTTTTTTCAAGTGTTACTTTAAAAACCCTTGCTTCCAGCTACCGGAAGATCAACCATGAACTGATTCAATGATGTGCATGATTAGTGCTAGTACAGGCATAAATGGAGAAAGTTTGGCCCATTATCCCTAAAACAAACACAATGACCTAACTTTTATTGAGTATTTCTTGAACGGACATTGCGAGGGAACATTTGAAAAAGGTAGTTTTTCTGAAGAATCACCTAAGAAACCTCATGGCTGCCAAAATTACCCTAAACCACCCGAAAAGGTCTTCTGTTATTGTACAGCTTGTTTTTATAACATTTCATCATGACCAGTATTCTCTTTTTCAGGCGGTAACAGGTACCACTTGTATTACCTCTTATTACTGCCTTAAATTGCATGGAATTCTTGAAAATTCAACAGACGAAGGATTTCTCTTAATATGTTTGAAAATTCCTTGTACCTGTCATGCATAAAACAAGGGAAAGCACTGTGATATGAGAGAATCTTCAAACCTGTAAGAATTTTCTTTATAGTCCTAGATTAATATCTTCAAAAGGCAGGCTTATAGATAGTAGTGAGAAAGATTACTAGTTTTGTTAAAAAGAGTTCATATTTTAGGTCTTTGCATTTCCAATAAAACTCATACAACTATGCTATTACAAAGCCAGAGTCTGTTCAAAGGCAATCTATTGTTTTTGTCATTGTTCTCGTGATGCATAATACTGCTAAATTAAATAATCAAACTGGATGGGTGCATCAGTAAATTCATAGATGATATGGCAAGACTTCTATGTAATGGGTAGATCAATTTGAAACTACAGCTTCCCCTCCCCTACCCCGACAGGCCCATGGGCATTGAACTTTTTAAGATTAGTTCGTTCAAATTTCCCTCCCCTACTCCCTTCAAAATTGCATTCAAATGCCCCACCCAATATAAAACAATTCTTTGTGTGATCAAAAGATGTTGTAGAATTTAGCAAAGTCACGTTTAAGATTTTGGTGCTGCTGTTGGGTTTTTCACTTGTAAGCATCATTCTATGATGTGGAAATTGTCTTTCTAAACCATTCACTCACAAAAGCAGACTCGTATCCTTTAGACCCCTTCATTAAAATATGTGTATTATACTGGAAAAACTTGACATTTCTGGTTCGAATGCCCCAGCCCACCTGAGTAAGGTTCAAATTCTCCATCCACTTACACTCAAATGCCTGGGATGGGGAGGATGTTGATCAGCACATAACCCCATACTTCATTATATGCATACAGTTATTTGGAAATAAAAAACAGTGGGGTTATAGAGAAAATGTTATATGCAGCTATATTTTTTTTATTTGTATGGGACAACATTAGAGCTTGTACACGTATTTTGAATCAAACAAAACTTGGGTGCAAAATGTTAAGATTTAGGGCAGAAAGTTTAGATGGCATTGATCTTCAGGAAACTGGTAGATTTAGTGAAAAAGTTCAAAAATAGCAAACAGATGAGGAGATACAAGTAACTACATTCAAATCCAGAGTTTGAGTGAAATGCAAGGACCAAAAATCCCAGTGAAGCATAGATGACTATATCAAACTGTAGCAATCTTTGGCTTCTCAATATATAGGGCCATGACAAAAGATTTAAGTAAAGTGAAAAGTGCCTTACTGCATCACATGGAGTGCTGACATGTTAAATGGGGTTGTCTTTGTTTAACCAATTACCCTTTGTTAATGTAGGCAGGGCCAGTCAGCCATGACAAAAAAATAAGCATGTTTAAGAAAGAAAACAGAGTCATTTATATTATTATCAAGTAATATCACAGGATTTATCTCATACAATTTGGACTAATCAACACATATAGATTTTTTTAGAGAAATGTGCCCATGGAAATGTGCTGCTTT